TTACACAGGTCCTCAATGCTCCATTGCCCTCCAGCTTCAGACTGTAATCACACAATAATGACTTGTCTGAAGCTATAGGTGCACAAGCAGAACTCCTTTAAGATGGGAAATAAATCTTTCCGGTGTCTTTGTCTCTCCCTGTAGGATGGGAGCGTTCTTTTCACCCTGTCTGCCCGCCTTTAACGTCCTGAAGCTTGTCGGCTTGATGTACCTGCGGAGCTGGGCTGTGCTGACCTGTAATGTTCCCCATCAGCAGGTCTTTAAGGCCTCCAGGTCAGTGAAGCAGAATTAGGTCATTAGAGGTTATACATTCATTTAGAACTAATCTGAGGTCAGTGCTGCACTGTTCCAGTAGCACCAATCTAATGTTTTGATGTGAGAACTCAGGCAGTTTGGCTTATTAGTGGAGCTGAGCTTGGATAATCTGCCATCATTTACTTATAATAAAACCATTAAAAATTTTGGTTTCATTAATCCTGGGACCAGTTGAGCAGGTTGATGCAAGTATTTTTAGTTTTTTTTTTAATAAAGATGTGTGGAATTTGGCTGAACATTACTCATTCTTTCTGTCTTGTAATAATTATACAAACGTTTTTTAATAATATTCATCCCTCGAAAAATTAATCAGCTCTAAATTATTGAGTTCAGTCTCAAAAAATGCATTTAAATCCTTAGTAATCACAAAATAAATGGAAATCATGAAAATAATAGAAATGTATTGATTATATCCTCATTTCAGATCAAATGTAAAGTTAATTATAAATCAATTTCATGATTTTATTTAAACATTAAAATTCATTTTAATGTAACATTTCTATATTATATATTCCTTCGAATATTAAATATTTATTTAATTTTCCTCATATTTCCAGGTTTTGTGATTATTTGTAATAATTAGTATAATTGCTTCAAGATAATTCCACACATTTTTAGAAATGTAAAAATGTCTTGATTAAAAAAAAAACTTAAAATACTTAATTACTTAATTTCATATTGGGATCAAAGTGGTTTAGCCCATCTACACTCTTAAAAATAAGTAGTAAGTATTTTTCATAATTAGTGGTGCTTGCTAAGGTAAGTTAGGGATTTGAACGAACCCCTAAACCAAAGTGTATGTATAATCCGATATCCAGAATACTAAAACTGCACACATTATGATAGATAGGTGCATTTAAAATACTGAATGAGCTTTGTTTGATTCATTTTAATCATCAAATCTCTTTTAATATTTAATGTTTGCAGTTGACATTTATTATTCAGTGTTTGTAAGTTGCAGCTCTTGGCCTTTGATGTTTTCCTATATTTGACACTGCACACTTTTGTAGGCAGTAAGAGGCAGCCTGTCAAAACCGCTTGACAGAGCTGACATCAACACTAAAGCACAAGACCACTTTAAATGAAGCACTGACAGTGGCGGAAAAGAATCTATAAATAGATATATTCGGCATTTCTACATTTGCACTGCAAGGCTTGCACAGATACCATATTTTGAAGCATGATCAATTTTTGTCCTGTTTGTTTACATTCACTTAAAACTGTGTTGACATTAATACCTCGGCAAGGCGCGTTAGGCTGTTGTAGCTTTGGATAATATATGCATATTAATCTAAATGTAAACATCAAATACATTCTGATTAGCTGGTGAACTGTTGCATTTTACATTCAGTTTGGACAACAAAAAAAATTGCTTATTCTTACAATCGTATAGCATTGCATATGGTTAGTGAACAGAGTTAGTCGAATCGACCCTTAACCTAAACCGAGTTTGGCAGGCTTTTGTCAAATCCAGGTATGTTTAGATTGAATTACAACAAATAACTGTTATTTCTACATCTTTCTTACTTAAAAACATCCCCAGCCTATTTCTGCATGTTTCCTTTGCTGGAAAACAATGAGGAGTGTAAATTCCTCTGACAAGAGCTGCAATGTGAAACAATTTAGCTTTTTACAAGCTGTGAGATTAATTTGAAGTCAGCCAGCATTCAGTGTATGGCTCAGGGACTCTCTGAACGCAACACTTCTGCTCTCTGCTTGACTGAATTCAAATCCCTCTCGTTTTCCAGTGTGGTGAGTACAGAGATAACAGTGGATACTTCAGTGTGACAAGCGACTGGGTTGGTCAAAGCATCAGTCTCGCTCTCCTTTTAAGATTTATGTAATTGCATCTTCATAGCTTTATCAGTCAGTCGCAGATGTGAGGCGAAACATTGCCGTGTAGTCTAAGCGTATTTCATCTTCAGTGCTGTGTTTTATAAATGATAAAAAGGAATCGTCCCACTGCAGGCGGGGAGTGTGTAACTTATCAGATATGATCAGTTTCATTGTCTACCTGAGTGAATTCAAAGTAGATAACGGTTTTTAATTGAAATGTATTTTATTCCCCAGATCAAATAATTTCTATCTGGCGATGCTTCTCTTCATGCTTTTCCTGTGTATGTTACCGACCATTTTTGCCATCGTAAGGTACCGGCCGTCTCAGTACTGTGGACCGTTCAGGTAAATAAAACTGTCCTCTTTGGGGCTGCATTTAAATCTAATCTCATTTAAGGTGACGTGTATAATTTTTTTGGATGTTGAAATACTTTCTCGTATCCCGGAAATAAGTGGAGACACCTATAAGTAAGCCATCTGCGGTTGACTACCCTTCAAAGTGTTAAAGCATTACTCTAAATCACGAATAGGTCGACACAGCGATACTGACTCAAACATTGGTGTGAGTTTGGGATGAGATTAAATTGCAGATGCAGGGAGTGTTTGGTAGCTTTTTTGGAAATGATCACTATTTTAGCAATTTTGTTTGGTGGCACTAATGGAGATGCAAAGAAACCAAACAGTATACACTACATGCTACAAACAAACTACTGCAATATACTATAGTTGTGTGTTGATATATATATATATATTTTTTTTTTTTTAT